GAAGCGAGCAACGCCAGCAACGCCAGCAACGCCAGCAACGCCAGCAACGCCAGCAACGCCAGCAACGCCAGCAACGCCAGCAACGCCAGCAACGCCAGCAACGCCAGCAACGCCAGCAACGCCAGCAACGCCAGCAACGCCAGCAACGCCAGCAACGCCAGCAACGCCAGCAACGCCAGCAACGCCAGCAACGCTCCACGTCGCTTCCCAAAATGCAGTTCGGCTAAAAGTGACGTCACCCCATTCAAAGTGAATGGGCAGAAGCGTTGGAAGCTTCAACGCACGCCGCTGTGTGGACGGGCCGTAAGTGTTTCCGTTTCTTAGAATGCTTTGTAGCAACTTTAAGAGACTGTGTCTAAACATGTTGCTCAAATTAAAGCAGCATGTATGAACGTGCACTGTACATTCACAGATGTAGGATTTGTTGTAGGATCTCCTCTTGTATATTGAAGAAAAGAGCGCATGTGCAATATTGTGACATAAGAATGAAGTGCTTTTCCTAATGTAGAATAATTAACATGAAAACTCATGTTTAGGTATTAGCAAGCTCCACGGCTAACCAGAGACTAACAAGCTGGAATTTGTAGTTTCTCTCTTACCATAAACTACATGACAGTTTTGTTAAAAGGCGCCGCTGGATGCAGGAAGTACATCAGATTTTGCAGCAGAAGACTCAACTTACTTTGGTTAACACTGAGAAATGTATATATTTTTTTACATGTTACTTGTTCGACGCTTTTATCCAAACTTACATACTCAATACAGTGGGCAATCCCCACAGGAGTGGTGAAGTGTCTTGCCCAGGGACACAACGACATGCTGACTGCAGTGGGGTTTGAACCTGTGACCATCTGATCCCCAGACCAAGCTCTATCCACTGCGCCACACGCCTCCATGTATTGCTTCAATTGATTTTATTTAACATCAACGCTGATCGGACATCCACACAACATTTCTCTTTTAGGTTTTAGGCCATGGAAATCTAATTAAACTCTGCTCTCGTGCCTGAAAATCAGTCCAGATTTTTGCCTTTGATTAGAGCTACTTAACGTTATTTTATCTTCACTAGTAAGAAATGAACAGGCATAGCCCATAATCATCTCTCTGGTTGACCACAATTGCCTTCCCTTCCTCTCAGGTCCAGCTCTCATTCAGTGATACGCATGTGATATGGAGCTCGGGCTGTAATTATAGTAATCACAGGGGCCCGAGGGTCCCTAACTATGCCTCTGGTAGTTTCAACATCATGTCCCAACTCCTGTAATTACGGCTCAGACTTTTATTAAGGGAAATGCATTTACGCAAAGGAGTGAAATAGTTAATCCAAGGGAGAGTCAATTTACAGACTGATTATCATAAAAGAGAGTGATTTTAAGCATTTCATTATAGATAATAGTAGTACCTATGTTGATAGAATAGTATGGACTAAAAGACAGAGGAGGGAATGGCACATTGCTTATATGTCACTGTCAGTAGTAGATGTTATATTACTAATCAAAAAGGTGAATTAGCATGTCTGACATAAACTCAATCCAATTATCCACAAAATGTCTCTGCCCCACATTCCTAACAACTGACACATCATTACAACCGCACACAAACATCTTTCTAAGTCCGAGCAGAAAGTGCCATATATTTTCCCTTCTGTTGGTATAAATATTTAAAATCTATCACAAGCAGGCTTCCTTTATTTCCAGTCCATCAGCTCCGAAGACCCCCTCCCTGCTTCAAACACGAAACACGCAGCGTCACAACTAATGACTTTGCTGGCAGTCTGGTGGCTGGCTGCTTGTTTGTGTAGACACAGACTGTTGATATTCAGAGGTCGTCAGCTTTGATTTGGTGAGAAAAATAAAATGGCTGTGTGCATTTGTAGGTGTGTGTCCACAGTCTCATTTTTTAATATGACTTTTGTGCCAGACAAATGTTTGTACAGAACATGTATAACTGCTGATTCTAAAGGATTTGAAAAGCTTCAAACAATTGCATGTTGTTACTATATTTCAAGTGTAGCTTGAATGAGCACTGTGTAACACAACAAATGAAAGTAGAAAAGAACAAAAACAGTTGAATGAAATATAATGTTGTAAAAACATGAAACATATGACATGAAACCAATTATTTTGAAATTCAAATCTCAAATTTGATTCCGAGCCATTAGGTGAAGGAAGATATGTTGTGTGCGTTTTAAGTGATCAATACATTTGGTCTGACATCAGACTCATGGACTCTATTAACTCTCTTTCTCTTTTAATCAATATGTCCCCCAGGTGCAGGATATAATGTGTAATCATAAAACACAAATCCCAGCCATTATTTTGATGCTGATGAGACTTACAAAGTGCCGTTAGCATTCACTGTGTAATTACCCGGCTGGCACAGACCATAAGGGAAAACAAACTATGCAAATATTTCCGTTACTCGCAAAGGCTCCTTGGGGACCCGTTGTGTACACTGCAGAGGTAATATCTGCCAAACCAAGAGAAAGGGGAATACATACCACTACCCCTAGCTTTAGTTTAAAGTCCTGGTTCTCAATAGGTTATTTCAAAGTGGCTAAACTGAACCGATGAGGAAACAAAACCCAGCCCTAACACATGAACGTGAAGGCCAGGAGGTAGAGGCTTCCGCCCCTTACTATAATGAATAAAGCCTTGTGTAAAATGTCTGACAGCCTGTGAGTGACAGCTTAATCATTTCCAGTGTAGTGTAATACCATAAAAGGTTTGCCTTTCAAACACTGAAGCAGAGAGGCCTTTTGGGCCGTGCAGCAATTTGCATGCAGCTCTTGCACCAGCAATATCTCATATTCTTCGATGGCAGCAGTGTATTCATCGATTTAATCAAATAGATGAAGGATAAGAACTGAGCTGAATGATGGTCATCCGAGGGAACCAGGGGCAGCACTGCACAAATATATTTCTAAACTAGAAAGAGAATGACAGAGTAGATAATATCTCAAGCTTTTTGTTAACGCAATAACAAAAACCTCCAGACCAGGGGTGCACAGGGCGGTGACGGTTATTTTAATAAATCAATTAATGTTTCATGGAATTGCTTAAAGGTCCCATGTCATGGCCATTTCTACTGATCATAATTCCATTGTTGAGGTAGAATATATATTGTGCAATTTTCCAAACTCACATTGGTTTCTCATCCAGCATCTCTGTATAGTATGTGTATTCACTCTCTGTCCTAAACGGCTTGTTGGAGCTCCTGCCCCCCCCTCGCTTTGAGCCCAGTGGCCGTCTGCGAGACAGCGAGACACGGCGAGACCCAGCCCGAACACACACACCCGCAGCCTGGCTGGGAGTCTGTGTGTGTGCTCACACACCGACTCACAGCCTCGCCACGTCCCGCCGTTTCAGGGAGGAGAAATCGGCGGAGCTGCAGCTGAGAAAAGATTGAGTGTGTGTGTATGAGGAAGTCAGCGGATTGGTCCATTTGGACCGATCCACGGACTTAACGTAACGGCTCCACAGACTTAACGTAACGGCTCCACGGATTGGTCCATTTGGACCAATGGGTCCATTTGGGTAACGGGCACGTCACTGTACCCAGGAAGAAAAAGAGAAATCTCCAACGAGGCGTTCTGGGGCATAGACAGGTATTTTCTGTGTTAGAGTTGTACTCGCTACAGGGTGTACTTTGAGGGTTTGTGACTTTGCAGACCGTTTACATGCAGAAAAAGCTATAACACACAAGGGGACGGGTAATAACCGGAAAAGCATGACTTGGGGCCTTTAACATATGAAAGCATCAAAGGCTGTTTCTGTATAACTACCACTCAAAGATAGGCATTTGAAATAAAAACTGGCGACAATGGAAGAGATTTAACTTGGAGATATTTGGTATTTCTACCTGATGACAATAAACGGATCAATTACATTTCTCTATGGACTATTTGATTAATCACCTCAATGTTTTAGGACTAGGAGAGGATCAAAGATCTCACTCCTTGTATAAAGCAGTATCTGCTCAAAAAGGTTTGGACAGCTGCATTTGGAATGATGGATAACGTTTCCTTTCCTCTGTGGGTTGCTGCACAGAAAGCGTGTGCGGTGAAGTTTCAGCACCAAAGGGTGGACAGCTCCCCACCCTCATCACCTGAAGACCCCGAGCAACATATAGATTTTTCAATTCATCATAAGGGACTTTGAGCAGCCTGGTCCACTGTACTCACTGTTATTCCAGCCTTCCCTTTGTAAACATCTACGGATCCTACATGCATGTGATTCCATTTCCCTGAGACATCTGTTCCTATCTGTATACATCACAGATGGAAGCATCTTTAGGTCTCGCTCAATGCACTTTCTCTCGTAACTGCATTATAAGCTAATCCATTAGTCTTACAAATAAGAAGATGCTCATTAGTTTAAAATGGGTGAATACTAATGAGTGTCACAAAGGGAACTGTGTTCCACAATAAACCAGATTTTTCCTTAGAAATAGGGTGTGCAAAACTGCATGTAAATGAGTCAGTTGTTCCGATAAAACAGCACCAACTAAATATACAAAAAAGGGTTAATTTGCTAATCCGTCACAGGTACAATACTTTATTACCCGTACTGGCTCTATATATTCTCAAAAGTTTTAGAATTGATTCATATGATGTGTTTAAGCCCATCTTTGTGCACGGGCGCTGCAGGCATACCGATTAGGCATAGTTATTATTTGTATGATAATTAGGGGGGAAAAGTCCACGTAGGCTTATAGGTGAAATCAACACACACCAAAGAGTGCTGCCTGCTGTGGATTTGTGACACTTAATGAGCAATGCCTTCAAATGTTAATATAAATGATGGAAAATAAAGGAACATTGCATTTTAGGACTTTTGAGTGAAGTTTGGCATTACAGCCTCCATCAAAGAAACTGCACGTATCGGGGCGAGGGTTGCTGTCCTCGTGCCCTGTTATAATATCACCGGTAAACAGTACTGCGCTGTGTCAGAAATAAGTGGCAACAAGTCATAAGAAATCAAATGAAAAAAGGCACTCACCATAGAGGGATATAATCCGAAGATGGTGAGGGAGAGCACGGGGTACAGGACGCTCAACAAGACCCTCATGGTGACGGGCTCCGGGCGGCCACTTGCCTCCAAGGCGCAGTCCTACAACATAGAGCCCGTGTCCGCTCCGTTACCTCAGCGCCTCTCTACTGCTGTGGATCCACACACAGCGCTCCGACGGCGGCACAGGGTCCACTCGTTCTCCGGCATCACACTCACCGCTCCCGGTGCTCCGACTGAAGGTAGTGCGGAGGGAAAAAGTTTTGAGCGAGTGGGAAATATTCAAATATCTCAGATCTAGCCAACTGCAGAGGGGGCGCGACGAGGATGTGACATCACTGAAGGGTTTTAAGGGGTTATGTCTATCTATCTATCTATCTATCTATCTATCTATCTATCTATCTATCTATCTATCTATCTATCTATCTATCTATCTATCTATCTATCTATCTATCTATCTATCTATCTATCTATCTATCTATCTATATATCTATCTATCTATCTATCTATCTATCTATCTATCTATCTATCTATCTATCTATCTATCTATCTATCTATGATTACAAAGATCGTGTGACCTTTATATTTAGTTCATTTGACTTAAATGAAAATGCTTTGCTCTTGTTGATTTCAGTGCCTGGCTCTTTGATTTTCCTAAACACAACATACCTAAGAGTGAGTGTGACGTGTGTGTGTGTGTGTGTGTGTGTGTGTGTGTGTGTGTGTGTGAGTGTGTTTGGGTGTGAACTGACTCCCTTTGCAATTAGTTAAGACTCAATTGCTATATGGATGATAATACCAGTAACATAAAAGAGGAATAAAGTGGATTGATTAAAACTGTCAATATGTAACAATGGGCATACATAACTGAATAAAATGATCGCTTTTTCATCGCGTAATATAACATTCTGTGTAAAACAAGGTACAAAGAAAAGTTCTAAAAATGTATGTATCGATGTGCAAATTAATTTCACAAGAAACTCACCTTTGGCATGTCATGGCTTTACAAAGAATTGTCAAGGTCATCAGCAACGAAAATATATTAAGAGCTACAGCACATTTCCATCACTGAAAAGACACCACGGTGCCTCAGATTTTTTTTTTAGAAGAGCGTAGCAACCTAGGGTGCCTGGTTCTTTATGACTCTCATTCAGAGCCAGTGCTGAAAGGCTTTTATTTACAGGGCCTGCGGGTGGGTTCTGCACATACCTGAATACAGTTTGTTTCATGAATATCTCATGCCAGACATATTCATGGAACTATTCATCAGTGGAGCGGCAGTGGGGAGATGAGATGCCGGCGCAGTGTGAAGATGCTGCTCCTGGAGAAGCAGCCGTATGGGGCCATGATCTGCTGTGCTGCCTGCAGTGGTAGACAGTTGAAGTCTCGATGATTTGGTCATCAGCAGGGTGACACTGGTGGAATTTGCTCTTCTGATCTTTTGTAATGAAAAACAATATCTCAAAGGCAACACCCTCCTTTTCTTGGACTTTGTAAAGGCTTTAAATGGTCTGCAACTCCTTTTTGTGTGGTTGCCAATCTTTAAAAACGTAGAGAAAATAAAATAAAATATAGCTTTATTTATACTATAGTAACGGAAACATTGAAGATTGTTATTGGTCACCCGGATCATCCGTCTTTTTAACTTGAATACTGTGAGAAATGTGGAGGGAGACAATTGTGAGATAATGATGAAAACAATTCTGCAATTTTTTGCTGGTCGAAGGGCTCTGGTGATTACGCCTTATCCTTCTTCTTAAGCCACCAGAAGGATGAGATGTTTAGGTTGTTATAAAATATAGTAGTAGTAGTAAAAAATCAGTCTTCTTTCTTTTAACTCAACTCAAGAACACAAATCAAAAAGGTTTGTTTTATTTGCCTAACATGATGCATCCGTGTACTGTAGAGGGGCAGAATAAGGATATAAAAAAAGTGCAATAATCGTAGTTACACGGAAGCACTCTACTGGAGATGTGTTGGAGGTCTTGTTGCTGTAGAAATACAGCAAAAGGTCAACTTGTGTAAAGGCAGTCTGATGTGGTAACAAAGCCTTCTTTCACTGAACACTAAACTTATAACCTTCATAACTTTGGTAAATCCTTAACATCGGAAAGATCCTCCTAACCGTCACATTTCCCATGCAGTAGGTTGTGGAAAATATTGTATCTAAATACTGGAATTATCGAGAATACATTGTGCATTTTCTGCTGCCCCCATGCAGTTCGTCTGGGATGTTTCTCCTTATTTAGGTGGCGTGCTGTGCTCAGACTGCAACACAGTGTTCCCTCTGTGGCATATAGAAAAATTCTCCTGTCATAGTATAAAGCAACAGGGAATGAAACCGCTTTTCATTACACCACTTAAAGCACTGCTTACCAATGAGCTGCACAGAGCCATCCGCAGCCCCATTTGTTTGAAGAGGAAACTTTGACACTGGATAAGAAAATAGGCTTACATCTGTGTTTGCATGATAATTAGCCAAGTGTGACCTCTGGTTTTTGAGTGATGTGATAAAATGATTCAATCCAATTTATAAAGTAGATTAGGGAAAAATAACAATCCAAGCTTAATGCAATGCCTGTTCACGCTCGTATAATTGCGTCTTCATAAAGCAGGTTTTAATAGAGCATGGTTCACACAGTTAAATTGGAGTAATTACAATTAAACAGACCTTATGCCGGAGGAGACCAACAGGCTTTTGGGGTGAATTCTCATTGTGAATTGCACGTTCTGCTGTTTGTTAAGTGTAATTCAGATTTATCTACATATATATTGTTAATTCCTCTGGACTTGTACAACTCCATTAGTGGCCATTTATTGGATGATGCTATTTATTCTACTAATTAAAAGCCATCTCATATCATCCTGCCTCTGAACAGGTCTCTTATTCCTTCTCATCTATTTATTTGTGTGTGTCCTTGAGAGCCATCCGTTTCTTTTGATGTATCAAAGAATGTGTGTAAAATACGAGCAGAAGTGCATGTAACACCAGATCCTGGGCACACATGTGAAAAATGTTAGCACGTGTGTGTCTAAATGTTGTATGTGCATGTCTATCTGCATTTATTTGTCCAGTCTAATGAACGGTCTGGGGAGCACTGTTGTCTTCAAATGACTTCGGTTCAAATTGTATTACTCTAGCTAACATGAAAAGCTGATGAACACACAAAGCTGTGAGCATGAGCAGCAGTCCAGATACTCTTGTATATCATCATAACCTTTGCCTCTCCTTCCTCCCCTACACTTACAAAAGTTTACACTCCAGGACTTGCCACTTATGTTGATGAGCTGATTGACACTTTAAAGCATATTTACAAATCCCTTGAGATAGCCAGTACGCGTGAAGAGACTTTAAATATAAATGTCCCCGCTGTGGGACGAATAAAGCCTTTCTGATTCTGATTCCGATCAAGCAGAAAAAGACAACATCCAATAAAGAAATGCCTTTTGTTCGCTGGTTTTTAATGGGTTTCACCAGAGGCACTAGCTTCAGATTTGATTAAAAGGAAAAACAAGGCACTGAAAAGTAACTTAAGCCATATAAACTGGGGTATTGACATACAGTATTGGTTCCTCCAAAAAAGATATCTAAAATGAACTTGTTATATCTATTGATTTAGATTTTCGGGGATGTATAACATATATAAATATGACCTAGTATACCACATGCTACAGTGAAGGCTGTGTGTGTTACACTGCCGCCTTGTCTGCAAAACCAAAACATGACAATCCAGAGGACAAGAGGAAGTGTTCACTTTTTAAATGTTGTTTTATCATTTTCTTCATTCAAAAATGCATAAATCTCAAGGAACACATACAAAACATCTTTGAGCTTTACCAAACTGTACTGCCACATCCTCAACAAAGCCAGGGAAGGAGGAAGAACTAAAACTCCAATTTCACGATCAAATCTCTTTTTTTATCCACACATTATGAAAATACAGCTCACAGTCACCAACAGGAAACCAGAACACTGCAGAAAACATTCTAACATATTAACTTAGCATCAAGTCTATATAAGGTAATGAGATGTCAGGGATGTTAACATTATGATATGTTTGAATGTGTATAATTGTTTATGAGGTGTTTATGTCAATCAACAAACAAACCTAATACACAGACAATAACATGAATGAAGCATGAGTTCAGAGTCCCATAGGATGCCTCTTCAGATGAGTAGGAGTCTCATGTGCCCCCCCCACCCCCCGCAGCACGGTAGCCTGGCAATTTGCCTGGTAGCAATTTGAGGCAACCAAAGAAGCACCTGGGGGGCACTTGGACTTTGTTTTTAGTATTGCACTGGAATGGGCCTAGTGCAGCTCTGCAGTGACATGAAGCATTGGCAATATTCCACTGGGGAACATACCCTGGTAAAATGAATGCTTTTGCATTTCAGCACTTAGAGCATAAAGTACCTCGGATTGCCGCAGCCAAAAAAGAGATACGTTCTAATGTTGTATGCAGAAGATTATTTCCATTTAGCAAAAGGTAAAGCGGATAACACTCTGCATCTCACAGTCCTTATACACCATTAGATAGTACCAAATAAAGCAATACAACTGGTGCACAGACTCCGGTTTAAACATGCAGTTATTACACCCATCACAATCGCAGCTGGGTCACAATACACCAGTATCAAGCACGAGCACTGGATAGCATCGAGGCAACAATGAACAATCATCCCTGCAGAAAAGCCTGAAAGAAGGACAATGACTGAATGACCACACACACACACACAATATATGTACTACTATTATAACATAAATAATACCTTATATAATTGTGTTTGTGAACACATGCATTGATTGTTAAATAGTTGTCTTGATATCTCACACACAGGTACAGTACATTGGGCCCCTATCTTCTTTTTCCTCTACCACAAAAGAAAAAGTCACAGTAAAAAACACCCTACAGTATGCACGTGTTCGCATTTTTCGTGTCAGAACATGACAAAATCAACAAACCAATATCCAATTTGTATCAAAAGTGTTCCATTACAGCTTACTCTACTTTCCCGTCCCCCTATCCTCTGTTCCAGAATTACTTTCATGCCCTTTCGCTCAATTCATCTAAAGAAACCCTATATGCTATTGCTGTATCGTCCTTCCTCTGTCATTCCCTCTGCTGTGTTATTCCTTTTTCATTCTCCCCTTGCTCTTTTCTGGCATTAGTTGCTCAGCAACATCAAGTGCTATTTGGTGGTGGAGAGAAATAGAGGGGAAAGAAACAGCACATTCAATGTGAGGGGTCTTTTGTCATTCTGCAGTAGATGGTGGGTCTAAAGAGCTTTGATGTTTGAGTCGACCTAAGGCTGTCATTTACTGATTAAACAATTGAGCAATAATTATAAAAAACACATTATATTTTCAAATGTAGCCAATTAATGGTCCCCTTTAGTCTTTTTGACCACACGTGGTGTTGTAGTGCTTATTTCTTTATTATTCTTATTCTATTGTGTAAGTACTTACACAAACCCTATGAGCACAGTTCTACATACTGTATGTACAGCTCGGGGCAGCAATAATTGATGTTGCTAGACACTAAGTAAAAAGAACAACAGTACATTTCTACCTCAAACCTTATTACACTGTCTCCGTCAACACTTGAAAGCTGTTGCAAGATCACACAGCATCTCTACCTGCAGATTCAACATCATCCTGAAATACCACTTGCTATTCACTTCTTATTGTCAGTCACAATCGCAGGGCCAAATGGAGGCTATGAAAAAAGCACCATTTGTTTTGCGTCCGTTTCAGGGTCTTCATATTTTGCATGCTGATAATAGTGAATCCTTCATTTTTCAATTCATTATTTCAATCCTATGTCGGGGGGGGTTAAGCAATGTTGAATACAAATTGTCTACTGAAAGATACGCATCATTAAAAAAAATAAGAAGTGTAGCTCTTCACCTTATATTTCGCAGGACCTTCACTTTCAGCAGACTTGCCTTTTTCACAGACGTTCCTTGCCAGAGGAAGGATTACTGGTATGATCACTTTAGGATATAATAAAGTGTCCTTGACGTGATGTTGCTTCTTCAAATGAAGCACAGCTAGTTGCATTGTACACAGCACCAATTAGCTCTTATATAATTGCCTCTTGAATTCTAGAAGTTGAGTGGTCTCT